CAAGCTAAGAATCCTCAGGCTAGAGAGATGGCTCAGCAGGTTAAAGAGCACCAGCTACTCTCAGAAGGCCCAGATTCAGTTCCCAGCATCCACATGGCGGCTAACAACTGTCTGGAACTCCAGTTCCAGGGGATCCCAAACTCTTCTGGCTTCTGCAGGCACTGCAGGAATGTGGTACACCTACATACACGCAGGCAAAAACATACACATAAAATCAGATATTCTACACACATACACACCTCTCCCAGTATTGGTAAGAGCCCCTCCAGGACTATATCCCTGGCTTGCCTCCTGGAAACCCTCTTGTTTGGAAGGAACTAGGGTAGGGTCTTTTTGGAAATGACTTGTGGCTTGACCCTGTGGGTCACACTAGAGAAAATTGAGATCACGGTGGTGCACCACCCCAGAGACCTTAAGTGGAAGGATTTCTGTGATGGTCCGGAACCCCTGGCTGCTCTGGAGCCTAGGCCTGACCTCCAGGTCCAGGTCTTCGAGAATGACCACTCGGCCCCTGACAGGTCCACGCCGCTCCAGGCTGCTCAGAGAGGAGACAGTTGGGCGGGTAGGCAGCAGCTGGGACCCGCGGGGACTCTGTGACTCGGGGAGAGACAGTGGCTCTGCGGCCAGGGTATGGCCAGGTTCTGAAGACCCAGATGGGTGCGGTTTTCAAGCCCAAGGTGAACGCCACACCGGAACCCCCTCCATCTTTCTGTCGTTCCCTAGTGTCCCAACATGTAGGGTGTGGGAGTGTGGAGGCGGTAGGCAAAGCATCCCCATGACATTTTCCATCCTCCTCAACCCGGCGAACATAAATTGGTACTACCTGATGATAGACTGTGGGCTACTGCAGTCCTATTTTATGAGCAAATTAGCTGTGTCCTGGTGAAAAAAAATGGACTCTTAAAAGACGATTTGTGGTTTGCAGCACTCACGGGCTAATGGCCGTTTCTGGCATGGCTCAGTGATGGACATGTCGCCTGGAGAGGCGCCTGCTGCGCTGTAACTGAGACATATTAATGTGTCCCTAAGAAGGAAAAAAAGGCCTGGGGAAAGTCAGGAGCATCTTCGTGGTACAGTCGTTTCCTTATGAATGAGGAGACCCCGACACATTCTTATAGTCTTGTCAGAAGCCTAGGCCTGGCTCGTTGCTTAGCAATGTAACTTGGTGTCACTAAAAACCATTCAGGTAGAAACTTACAATAAAAGGCAGGTGGTACAAAGTAAATGTATGCTGCTGTGTCTCACTGCTGAAATACTAGGTGGCTAAGTGGAGGGGGAGGTAGTATTGCTTCCAGATCCATCTTTGTAGAGATTCCAAACGTTCCCCTGGGAGGAGAAATGGATGTCGGGACATGTTTGATTTGAGCCTGTTATTTATTGTGTAGGCATTCTAAGACAGTTAAAGTGGTTAGTATGGGTTGCTCATGAATTTATTCTTTCAGTCAAGAAGCCACTGTGCAAAGCATATACGCTCCACCCCAGAATTGCATTTATTTGTATAAAATTCACATATACATCTGCAATCATCGTTTGTTATCTCATGACTATTTGCTGCCTCTATTACACTATCACTGACTTTTCCTACCCCAAAGGAATGGGAAAGACAGAGATGATGAAATGATGGGGATTCTAGATGGGAAGGTGAACAAATTGAGAATCATTACCTGAAATCATGCCCCAGGGGCTTCTGACACCAGCAAACAGAAAACGCAAGAGCAGAGGAGTGAATTCTGGTATGCTGCTCCCAAGCATCACTGAACCTTGCAACCACTTTTCTGAGGCTTCCCAGTAGAATTAAACTGGGCAATGAAAGTGTGATTTTATTAAAATTAGAACAGCAATAAAAACCCATTGATTGCACTCTATTAAACAGGCTAAATGTGGCAAGGAATGAGAGAATATCTGCAACTGGATAAAACAGTATGTAGGTATATTTTTCATTTTTGGAAACCATACTTTCAGTTGCTGCATGCACTGCATGTCTAAAGAAAAGGATTTCATTAACTCCAACCTGGCTAGCTTGGTTTAAAAGGGTGCTGGCTGTTTGGGTGACACACTTCATTGGAAGGCCAGCAGAGGGACCCCAAGTTTGCTGTCTACAGAATCCAAGGTAAACTGAAGTACAAAGTGTGGCTGGATACAGCCCAGGAAGATTTCAGGGTTTGGGGTCTGGTGGCTGGAGAGAAGCGTGAGATTTGGAACTGATAACCCGAGGCTGGTTGGTAGGAGCTGAAGGACGGCTGGCCCAGTGCTCACCGTTGGACTCCAAATTCTTGACCTTGTTTTCAGGCGCAGCTGCTGTTGCTTAGTGAGTAGGAGCTCACCTCACCCTGTCAATTTGTTCAACTCCTCAGGGGCTCTTCAATGATGCGGAATGACAGCTTTGAAATCATTTATGAATAGATCAGTGTAAGTGTGTGCGTGGGTGAATATTCACAGAGAACAATGAGTGAAATAAGCCCCACTTAATCATGTGTCATAAAGTTACAGAGGGCCGAGAGATGCTCAGGGGGTAGAGGTGCTTCCACACAGGCCTGACTCCTGAATTTTATCCCTGGATCCCACAAGATGGCAAGAGAGAACTGACTCCAGATAGTTGTCTTCTGACCTACACACACACACACACACACACACACACACACACACACACACACACAGAGGCTAAATAACTAAATGCATAAATTTACAATTTAAAAAAGCATTCTGGGGTTGGTGACATGGCTTAGCAGGCAAAAGCACTTGCCACCAAGTCTGACATCTTGAATTTGATATCCTAAACCCACTTGGAGAGAACCGATGCCTGAAAGTTGTCCTCTGACCTCCATACACACAACATGGCACACATGCCCCCCACAGATAGATAATAAAAGAATTCTGAATAGCTTTTATTTTGAAATGTTAATTGATTTCATCTTGTTTACTATGACTCACTGTAATAATTATATATTACTGGTACAAAATAATCCTTAAGTGTAGTGTTTTAAAACAACAACAAACATCTCAAGAGTCTGTGTAGGTCAAGATCCAGATGAGGTTCATCTAGGAATGTCAGCTTGGGTTCCCTTTCATGAGGTTGCTGTGATATTGGCTGTGACTGTGGTCATCTGACTGTGTGACTAGGCTGGAGCATCTACTTCAGAGATGCTCACTCACATGTTAATAGGGTTATGTCCTCAGTCATGGATTCCAATCACAGAATGTCCAGAGTGTCCCATGATATGGCAGCTGGCTTCCCCAAGAGAGATCCAGAGGCCACAGTATCTTTTATGACCTAGCTTTGGAGGTCACATGCCATTCATTTCTGAACATCCTAATGATTACAACCATCATCCCTATTCAATGTGGGAGGGGATAGATGACCCACAGGTGAGACACTAGGAGTCAAGATTCATAGCACACTCTCTTGGCATCTGATCACTCACCTTTTTAAAATGCACATCTAAAGATCCTTTCAAGGACAAGCAAGATGGCTCTGTGGGTAAAGGTGTTTGCCACCGGGGCTGAAAATCTGAGTTTATCCCAGGTCCCATATGGTGGAAGGAGACCCCTGACTCCCACAAGTTGTCCTTTGGTCTTCACACATGCCCCCTCCATATACATGCATATAATAAATATTTTCAAATGTACAATTTGCCTTAATGTATTTCTTCCTATGTTTAAAAATGTGTACCACATGCCTTTAATCCCAGCACTTGGGAGGCAGAGGCCGGCAGATCTCTGAGTTCAAGGCCAGCCTGCTCTACATAGTGAGTTCCAGGACAGCTGGGGCTACAGGGAGGCCCTGTTTTTTTTATTTTTAAAAATCTTTTTGAGCCGGGCATGGTGGCGTACGCCTTTAATCCCAGCACTTGGGGGGCTAAAGGGGGGCCCTGTCTCAAAAAGACCAAAAAAAAAAAAAAAGTATACTAGAATATTCCTGCCTTGTAGTTTTCCCTCACTTTAATAAGTGTTCATGGACAGGCGTGGTGGTGCATCCCTTTAATCCCAGCACTTGGGAGGCAGAGGCAGGCAGATCTCTGTGAGTTTGAGGCCAGCCTGGTCTACATAGTGAGTTCCAGGTCAGCTGGGGCTACAAGGAGACCCTGTCTCAAAAAGACCAAAAAAAAAAAAAGTATTAATTTTCACTATGTTCAGTTTACTCCAACATCACCACTACCACCATCAAACACAAAGTGTATCCCATGCCAGATGGCTCATGGCTATAACTCCAGCACTTGGGAGGGTGAGGTGGAAGGACTGCTGAGTTTGAGGCCAGCCTGAGCTACATGGTAAATTCCAAGCCAGCAACAGTCTGAGACCCTGTCTTAACAAACAAAAATAAAAGAAAACAGAAAAAAAGTATGCTAGAAATTTCCTCTGAGTACAAAGTCCTCCTTCGTGAAGCAGAAAGCAATTTTTAGGACAAAATGGCTGTAAAATCAATGTGTTAAGGAGAACAAGTTATCTGCTACCTTCTGGTTAGGAATACGTTCCCTCTGCAGGCTAACTTCTATTAGCACACGGTAAGTTATATTACACAATGAAAAATCAATAAAAGTCGGCTCTGAGTCACTTTGCTTCATAATGAACAATCCAGCCTTTCCTTGCATGGCCTGACACTGGCCAAGTCTGAAAGGTAGCTGGGAGAATACTTACACTCTCTTTTCTCCGGGGCTCAAAGGCAAAAGGTTTTAAGCAACCCCAGAACCAGAGAACAGTTGTTAACTCAGAGATCTAACCTACTGAGTGACCTTGGATAACATTTAAAAGCTAAAAGATGGATTCTGACAATCATTCAGCAGAGAGCCTTGACTTCTGTCTACAGCAGAGGCAGAGTTTAAGCATCAAAGAGCTATGCCACTGATCCCAATGCAATATGGACACCACAATTCCAGGAGAGAGGTGGCCAGCTGCAGAAACACACTCAAGCACAATGCCCTTTGCAATGTCCTTCAGTGGAAAAGGTCTGAAAGCCTAATGCTGAGCCAAGAGCTTCTCTTTGTGTCAAAAAAGTCAAGCTTGTGCTTGCTCCAGCAGCACATATACTAAAATTGGAACCACACAGAGAGGATTAGCAGGGCCCTGCACAAGGATGATGTAAAACTTCATAAAGTACTCGGTAGATTAAAAAAAAAAAAATCAGTGGAACTTAACTAAGGGAAGCTGGTTGTTTCTTTTGATGATGAAGAATAAAGTTCAATGGCATCTAAAAGCAAAGTGACCCTTTCAAACCCAAGATGCTACAATTTCTACATAAGACAAGTAACAGGGCTGGGGATCAAGCTCAGCTAGTCAAATCCCTGATGTACAAAAGCATGAGGACCTGAGTTCATTCCCTAGAAGCCACGTAAAAAGCTGGGTATAGCCAGGTGCAGTGGTGCACGCCTTTAGTCCCAGGACTCAGGAGGTAGAGGCAGGTGGATCTCTGTGAGTTCAAGGCCAGCCTGGTCTACATAGTGAGTTCCAGGCCAGGTGGGGCTACAGGGAGACCCTGTCTCAAAAAGACTGGAAAAAATAAAAAATAAAAAAGTTGGGTATGTGTGGATGCCAGGCATTTTTGCCTGACCCTGCAGGATTGTAAAATAAACTGTCTCACTTTCAGTAAACAAACAAATGCAGTGAGATTCTATCTCAAAGAAGCGAAGTGGGTGGTGCTAACGAACTAAGACCCAAAGTTGTACATGCATGCATGCCTTCAAAAACACATGCACTCACACACATGAACATGCAGTCCCCCCTTACACAAAAGACCAGCAACAAAACCCCTTGGGGGTAGGTATATGGATGTGGTGAGATTGCATTGAGCTATCCACCTCTGCATCGGCACAGGATAACACATGGAAGTGTGTTTGTGTGGCTAAGAGCACATGGTTTTGTAGTTGGGAGAGATCTGAGTTTAAAATCTCCATTCACTTGTCTTTGGCTGCATAACCCTGGATATTTTATTTAGCTTCTCTAAGGCTTTGGAATATAGAGCTAATAGTACTAACTGCTCTCGGTGGTTGCTGTGAGGTAAGTAATCTACTAACAAGTATAATGGAGATGATGGAGGCAGAGTAGCTAATAGTCCTAGGTTGGTGCCTAGCCCTGCTTAACTAGCTCATAAATCATTTGGCTTTTATCTACACTAGTGGCCCCCAACGAGGTGTTTATTTTCAGGCCAAACAATATAACATAATAGTAATTATTTTTCTCTTTTAAACGGCGAATAAACCCTCTGGGGGAAAATTAGGGCAGTGAGAATGTTAATGCCTCAAATTTAGGTCCTCCACAAGCTGGCATTCCAGGATTCCCAAAACTATGGCCAGGTTCCTACTGTTCACTCTAAAGCAAAGTCCACTGGTGACAAGCTCTTCCTCCAACACATTAAGCATCCAAGTTCCTTGTTTGAAAAATGTGAAGAAATAGGCAGGAATCAACAAAGTCTTTAACACAAAAGGACCAGGATGAACAAACAGAAAACAGACATTATTCAGGGTACAGAAGGAAACAACAACCTCTAATTGGCATCTTAGAGATGTCCACAAAGGTAAGGCATCTAGGAAACAAGAAAAATAAGAGAACAGAGCTCTTGGAAATGAACATTGGATTAAATTTTTTCTTAACAGAAAGAATTGAAAGCTAAAAATGGGGAAAAAAAAGTCTCACAACAAAAATTTTAAAAAGGCAAAGGAAGAAATTGAAAGAAAATTTAGGGCTGAAAGGATCAATCTAGAAATCAATCTCTGACCAACTCAAAGATGAGGGCTGGGGGCATAGTTCAGTGATAGTGTGCTTAACATGGAAGGAGAGGGAAGGATGGACAGATACGGGGAGAATAAGAACGGAGGAGAGGAAGTTATGAAGGAAACGTAACAATTTCCCCAACCTGAAGGTCTATCTTCACACTATAAAAGTGATCTTGAATGCTTTGCCCCGTATGTGTTAAAGGAGGCATATTAGAACACATCACTTAATTCTCGCAACAGAACTCTATTCCACAATCAAGGAAAGCAAGGTCACAGGCCAGTAGACAGTAGTAGAGCCAGGCAGGCTGTTCCAGCTTGCACTGTGAGTCATGTGGCACATGACCTCTCAACTGCTTAGCTACAAGGCAAAACCCCAGATTTCTTCAGGACTAGCACTGGATGCTAACTCAAAATGGTTCAACACCATAGTATGTCTGAGAGAAACTATTTCCATGTGGAAGTTTATCCCAGCCAAATTATCAATGAAACATGAGGGAGACTCGGGGACCTTTTAAAACTAAGACTTGGAACACTTACTTCCCATAAGACCTTTCTTTGTAAAGTATTTGGTGATAGAACTTCAAAAACAAGGGAGAGAATAAAAAAAAAGTTGTAAGAGAACTATCCTGGAAAAGATGTTTGACCCATTTTGGAGAAAAATGACGAAAGGTTTCAGGTAGGAAAGGGCTCTATGTTGTTAGCATTGTTCAGAACTGGACAAGCCTTGAAGGTCTGATGTTAAGAGAAGCGAAGGGGTGAAGGTGGTTTTAAACTCCAGGAAACACGGAGCCACAGAGGAAAGTAGGATCTAGCTACAATTTTGGAAGGTGGAAAGAGACGGCTTAGAGACTGCTTTTCCTCACAGGAACTCTGCACTAATGGGTCTTTAAGTTGCACACATAGTGCTTTGATACCAACATCTGTATCTCTGCTTCAGTTTATTTTTTTCTGGAAGTATGATTTCATTTTATCTTCAGACAGTGCTACACAATAGATCTAAATATCACTGTAACTGTACATTGGAACCCCAGGAATTGCACTCAGATAATACAGGTAAAAAGCAGCAGCGGCCAGGAGGAATGAGTCCAGAGGCTGATCCTTATGAGAAGGCCCAGTAGGTGGTTTTTGTTCTCCCTTTACTACACTTTTCTGGTTCTCTACAATGGGCATTGCTATGGTTTGAATATGCCCCCAATCTCTTTCAAACTTGACCTTTCAGTACTTTTAAGAAGTGGGGCCTTAAGGGAAGTTATTCTAAGGGCAGAAGGGAACTAGTTTGACTGGCTTTGATCTTCCACTCTTGTGCCATGTGAGGACAGCAACAAGGTCCCATCTTGAGAGGAGAGCAGTCCTTGCCAGGCACTGACTGTGCTGGTAACTTAATCTTGACCACTGAGCCTCCAGAACTGAGAAATTTCTATTACAAATTACTGGGTTTCAGGTATTTTGTTGAGGAATTACAAATGAACTAAAGTAGACATACATTAACTTCCCTCAATCCTGTCCCCCTTCGCCACCCCCTCCCAGTTCCATGTAGCCTGGGCTGGCCTTGAACTCTCTTGAACCCTCCTTGTAGATGATCTTGAACTTCTGCTCCTCTGGCCTCCACCTTCCAGTGTTGGGATTACAGGTGTGCACCATCCTGTTTTATGTGGTGCTGGAGATCAAATTCAGGGCAAGTACTCTATTGAGCTACATTCTCAGCCTCCCCTTGTTTTCAAAGATAGGGTTTTGCTATGTAGCCCAGGCCGAGCCTGAACTCATGATCCCCCCCATCTCAGCTTCCTGAGGTGAGACTAAAAGTTAAAAAAAAAATTATTTTCTGAGATTTTCACGCATACATTACTTTGCTCATATTGGCCTTGCAATCCCCCTCCATTCCTCACTCGCTCCTCTCAGTGGTCTCCCCACCCAAAAGTACTCCTCCTACTTTCAAGATACACATTTCTTTTTCTTTTTGAGACAAGGTTTCTCTTTAGCCCCAGCTGGCCTGGAACTCAGTGTGGCATCACATCCAGCTTATTTTTTTAAAAAAAATTATATTATCATTAATTTTATGTGCATGAGTACTGCCTGCATGTGTGTAAGTGGACCAAGTCATGCAGGTTAGAAGGTGGCATCAGATACCCTGGAACTGAAGATACAGATGGTTGTTAGCCATCATGTGGGTGCTGGGAATCAAATTTGGGTCCTCTGCAAGTGCAGTCAGTGCTCTTAATCAGAGCTCTCTCTCCAGCCCGACTTTTTATTTATGTGTATGTGTGCACGAGAGTGCCCTCAGAGGCCAAAAGCGGAAATGATAGCCAATGAAGCAGTTATAGGCAGTTGTGAGCTGCCCAATGTGGGTGTTGGGAACTGAACAAGGCTCCTCAGCAAGGGCACTAACATATTTTTAACTGCTGAGCCATCTCTCCAGTCCCATGATCTTAATTTTTGGGACTAGTGGCTCATATTATGATAAACTAAAGTAATGTGATTAGGAATTAGGTTTACAAGATCTATTATTTCTGGTCTAATTTCTTTTCTTCTTCTTTTTTTTTTTAAATGGGCCCGAACTGTTTTAAACTAATTTTGTGAGACCCCATTCTTCACATTACACAGTAAGCCAAAAGCCTTATGGTGCCTGGCCCAGCACACCCTCCTTGCCTTTCCCTCCACAGCCTAGAGTCATCTTTACCCCAGCAAGTCTTCCTGAAGCCAAGTGAGGGACAGTGTCAGGTGCCAGAAAAAAGTTTCAGAGAGTTGCAACTCCCGTGGGTGGAGCTGAAAGTTTCTAGATGTCCTCTGTCAGATCTCTGAAAAGAAGGCTTAGAAAGGCAGCCCCCAGTTGACCCTGCTCCTCCCCTCACACCACCATTATTTCACCATCGAAGTTCAAGGTCAGTGTAAGCTCACATGCTGAAATTGTTATTCAACCTAATTTTAATTGGTAAGTCAGTCTTCATGAGCTGTGGCATTAACCACCCTCTTCCAAACCCAAAAGTAGATCCTGTGTAGGTGTAGCCTCCACTTTGAAAAATAACAGAGCTGTGTAGTCACTTCAGCTGAGGATGGAAGGCAGCAAATAGTTGTTTTCAAAATAAGGTTTATTCATCATTTAAAATGAGCTCATGTCAAGCTCCTTAAAGATAAATCAACTGAGGGGGCTGGAGAGATGGCTCAGTGGTCAAGAACACTTACTACTCTTCCAGAGGCCCAAGGTTTGATTCCCAGCACTCAAATGGCAGCTCACAACCATCTAAGTACAGTTCTAGAGGATCTGATTCCCTTTTTTGGTCTCCATGGGCACCGCATGTACATGGTGGCACACATACACACATGCAGGCAAAACACTCATACACCTAAGTCTAGAAAAAAAATGTGGTAGGAATGAACGTCTGAGCAGTCACTGACCTCATG